GATGGTGTATGATGGTCGAAATGTGTCAGATGGTTGTCAGATGGTGTATGATGGTGTATGATGGTCGAAGTGTGTCAGATGGTTGTCAGATGGTGTATGATGGTGTAGGGTGGTTATACATGGATGGGTTGTCAGATGGTGAAGATGGTACAGATGGTGTATGATGGTCGAAGTGTGTCAGATGGTGTATGATGGTGTATGATGGTCGAAGTGTGTCAGATGGTTGTCGGATGGTGTATGATGGTGTATGATGGTCGAAGTGTGTCAGATGGTTGTCAGATGGTGTATGATGGTGTATGGTGGTTATACAGGGAAGAGCTGTCAGATGGTGCAGATGGTGTATGATGGTCGCGGGGTGTCATTCGCTGTAGGATGCTTATTATAAGTAATAGCATGGCTTGAGGGAGATTAGTGATTAAATGGCCCCGTAACCCGAGGCAGGTTTGCGGAATTCCCGAGGGCGAAGCCCGAGGGAATTCCGCAAACCTGCCGAGGGTAAGGGGTCATTTAATCACTAATCTCCCGAAAAACCATGCTATTAGTTTGTAATAGCATAGTTTCGCTCCCATTTAAAAATGGACAAACATGCCCTACTTGGAATCAGCGTATTTAAGCTAAAACATTTGCTTCATTGCTTGTGGGATGTAAAAGCTTGTTGCACATGCGCACTTTTTACGCTTTAATCGGTTACGCATGCGCAATCTATCATTTAACGTACCACAACAAACACGCTAAATATATTAGTATAAATTTGGAGACTGCACGTGCGTAATTTAAATGATGCGGCAACTCAGGGATCGGATGATAGACTATTGACGGCTCTGAGCTAACCGTTGCTGTTCCTTGCACGATTATGTGCGTGAGGCACTTGCCTAATGCGTAGTCGTCAGGGAGACAAAGGTGTGACCCTTGGTAACGGGCGATTAGTTCTAATCGCCCGCTCTAGCGGGCGATTAGAACTAATCGCCCGCTACAGCGGGCGATACGTGATTAAACGTCCCTGTTGAAACAAAAGAACCCGGGGCAACTATGCTATTATATTAGATATTACATTGCTATATTTTATACTTACATACACTTTAGCCAACTATGGTATGTGTATAAAAAATATGTTATATCTAACATTGCGGTTCTCGTGTGGGACGTAATTCAAAGTATTTGGCAAAATATATATTTAAACACATTTGACAGACATGTTGGACGTAATAAATAAAATTATAATATGAATATATGATATTTCGATCACGTTGCGGTTCTCATGTGGGAAACGCAATTTAAAGTATTTGGCAAAATATATTAAAACGCATTTGGCAGACATGTTGGAGGTAATGAATAAAAATATAATATGAATATATGATATCTCACAATGCGGTTCTCATGTGGGAAAGGTAATTCAAAGTATTTGCCAAACTTGGCAAAATATATTTAAACGCATTTGACAGTCATAATTACAGTTCGAGGTAACAACTAACAAATAAAAATATAATATGTATAGGTTATTTTGAGGCAACGAGGGGATATGTGATTTATTCACCGAGGCGCGCAAAGTACTTATTCTTCACACTGCGAGGTCGCGTTAATGAGTCAGAAAAGAAATAATTCTTAATGCCATTTTGCCTTCGCGATGTTGTTTTTTCTCATTTTTGTGCTGCAAAGACATTGCAGGTGAATATTAGAGGGGATTATTAATTGCAGGTGAATATTAGAGGGATTATTAAGCGGAAATTGATTAGAGGGGAATATTGAATATATTCCCCGACAAGAACAAAGGAAACCGAGCAGGGTGAAAAATAAGAATATATATGATATCTCACAATGCGGTTCTC